AGCCAGCAACTGGGAGGAGCGCTTCAATGGTCCTCACAGATTACTAGAAGCTGAGGGTGGCCTGGCTTGAGCATTCAAAACTCCTTGGGTCTCAGATTTAGTGGGGATCTCACACTCTTCTAAGTGTTACCACCAGGAGCCCAACCAGGTTCTCACTTGTAAAGATCAGAAAAATCCCCAGAGAACTGACACTGCCCACTTCAGTACTAATTATAGAGCTACAGTAACCAAACAATGTGGAAATTGGTGAAGAAAGAAAAAACAGACAAATAGGTCACTAGAAAAGCATACAGAGCTCAGGAATACACCTACACAGATACTCGACAGATCTTTGAGAAAGGCACAAAGGCAATTTAACAGGGAAAGGACAGTCTTTTCAACAAATGGTGCTAGAATGACTAGATATCCACGTGTGGAAAATGAATAAATCTAGGCAAAGATTTTACACCTTTCACAAAATGGATCTTACACCTGAATGTGAGGTGCAAAACTGTAAGACTCCTGGATTATCACATAGAGGAAAATCTGGGTGACTTGGGATTGGTGATGACTTCTCAGATACAATGCCAAAAGCATAATCCAGGAAAGAAAAAATGGAGAAGTTGAACTTCATAAAAATTAAAAACTTCTGCTCTGTCAAAGACATTGTTAAGAAAATGAATAACCAAGTGATAGACTGGGAAAAAAATTGGCAAAATACAGATCTGATGAAAGACTGGTGTCCAATATATATAAAGGACTTTTAAAACTCAATAATAAAAAAGCAAAAAACCCAATTTAGAAATGGGCAGAAGACCTGGATACTTCACCAGAAAAGATATATGGATGGCAAATAAGCATATGAAAAAGATGCTCAAAACCATGCGTCACTAGGAAACTGCATATTAAACCAATGAGACGCCACTACACTATACTATACACCTAACAGGAAGGCTCAAATCCAAACAAGTGACAATACCACAGGCTGTCAAAGACGCAGAGCAATGGGGACTCTCACTCGCTGCTAGTGGAAATGCAAAACGCTAGTCACTTTGGAAAACAGTTTGGCAGGTACTTTTTAAAATAAAAATAAAAATAAAAAGCTAAACACAGCCTTGCCACATAATCCTGAAAATAGCAGTTTTAGATACTTACCAAAGTAATGTGAAAACATGTTCACTCAAAAACTTGCATCTAAGTATGTACAACAGTTTTACTCATACTTAACAAAAACTGAAAGTAACCAAAATGTCCCTCAGTAAGTGAGGGGCTGAACGAACTGTGGTATATCTGTACAAGAGAATAGGATTCAGTGATCAATGAAATGAGCTAGCAGGCCACGAGAAGACATGGAGGCACTTTAAATACAGAATGCTAAGAAGAAACTAGTCTAAAGACTCTACACACTGTATGATTCCAACACTAGGACATTCCAGGACAGTCAAAATGGTAGAGATAGTGAAATGATCAGTGATTGCCAAGTGTGCAGGAGGGATGAATTGGTTGAACACAAGGAGGTTTTCAGCAGTAAAAATCTTCTGTGTGATACTGTACTGGGGATTCATGACATGGTAATTGTCAAGCCCCATAGAACTGTAAAACTCAAAGAATGCACCCTAACGCAAACTATAGAGTTTAGTTAATAATAATGTATCAATATTGATTAATCAATTGTAAATATATATCCCAGCAGTGCATGATACTAATGATAGAGGAAACTCTGTGCTAGGAGATAAGAGAGAATAGGGGAATTCCCTGTACTATCAGCTCAATTTATCTGTAAACCTAGAATTCTTGTAAAAAATAATGTCCACTACATTTTATTAAAGTTAGGATGCAACACCCACAAATCAAAATTGTGGTGGCATCCTTTTATGTGTGGTTCATACTGGGTGTTGAGGTGCACCAAGCTGGAGTCAGAACAGTCGGAGACATCAACACCTGTGCCTTCAACCACTGGCTCTGTGGGTGTCCCTGGAATCCAGAGGGCAGATCAGTGAGCCTGAGACAGACTCAGTGCTCCAGATAGTGCAGGCTTCTGGTAAGGACAGGGAGAAATCATCTCAGGGCAGTAATATGGCCGATATATATGTTATTTTCGACGTGGGTGAATCTTGAAGTCTAAAAAGTATTTAACTTAGAAGACAGAAAATCTCTGCTCATTATGTTAAGAATAAATTTAGAGGCCGGGCGCGGTGGCTCAAGCCTGTAATCCCAGCACTTTGGGAGGCCGAGGCGGGTGGATCACGAGGTCAAGAGATCGAGACCATCCTGGTCAACATGGTGAAACCCCGTCTCTACTAAAAACACAAAAAATTAGCTGGGCATGGTGGCGCGTGCTTGTAATCTCAGCTACTCAGGAGGCTGAGGCAGGAGAATTGCCTGAACCCAGGAGGCGGAGGTTGCGGTGAGCCGAGATCGCGCCATTGCACTCCAGCCTGGGTAACAAGAGCGAAACTCCGTCTCAAAAAAAAAAAAAAAAGAATAAATTTAGAATCATTGTTACACTTACATCTTTATTTCCCTAGCTGGCCAGGACCTCATCAGTAGCTACTGATGTCACTAGTGTCCTCTGATCACCTTGGCAGTCTTCACTGTTTTGACCCAACAGGAACTGAGGTGTTGCTTGTACCTAAGATGCTGACACCTGATAGAAGTCCAGGGTCACTGTCCCAAAGCAAGTCATCCAGCTGTCGATAACAACCACAAGGGGGACCAGGCCATCCACTGAGGTCATCTCCATGCAGCATGAGCCACTTGCTCTAATGAAGTCACCATCACTACACTTCTCATAACTCGCTAGTCACTAGACTGAGAGTTCTGTGAAAGCCGAGATCGGATTCTACTCATCTCTGTGTTCATGATTCCCAGCTTAGGGTCTGGTACTAAGGAAGTTCTCAGCAGTGTTCACCGAAGATAGAATAAAACTGACTACAGATATCCAATCCAATCACTGACATTCCTCTCCAAAATGTCCACCCAGGGATGTTATAATTTCTCCCAAGATGCAGCAAGTCCCCCTCCTACACCTGTAGACCCTGCTCTACACCAGTCATGCCCCAGGATCTTCTTCTGTGGGACACTGGGGGAAAAACAGGACTGCTCTGAAGAATCCCTCTTACTGGTTCCCCTTGTCCTTAGGAGCAATGTCTTCACCTACACTCCCATCCTCTGGGCTGCCATGACACCTCACTTTCGGAGAACTACCCTATTTTCTTGAAATCATGTCTCTGTGTTCTTTCTCTCATGGGCTTCAGTTCCTTGGGGAAACTTCTATCTGACCCCCAAGTGCTTAACACGGTGTAGAGAAAATTAAACACCCAGTAAATACTCTTCACATAGAGACCTTCCTCAACTCAAAGTACAGAGGAATAGTGGAAGTATCACTGCCTCGTATACTGGCAAGAATCACTGACTCTGGCACCTGACCTAGGGCAGAGCTGTGTGGTGTCAGAACGGACATCTCTCACCCTTCTCCAAGCACGGTGATTCCCTCTCATCCACGCCGACCTGCAGAGCATCCTCTGCTGCGGGGGCCCCGAGGTCGAGGCTCCGGGGTCTGGGGCGGGGGCCCACGGTCGCATCCTCTCCGTCTTGGAGCGGTGCTGCCCCTCACTACAAACCAGCTCTGATCCACCCTTTGGCTCTCCCTGGCCAGGCTCAGGAGACTCCTGCGGAGTAGGTTTCTCTCTCGGTCCCCCCTGCTCAGCGTGCGCTGCTCCTGGCGTGGCTGCATGATCACAGGCCCGCTGCCCATCCCCCGAGGCTCCTGGCCCCGTCTGTCCTCACTCTCCCCGGCTTCGGTCCCCCCTGTTCCAGCGCTGACTCGTCCTCTGCAGGTTCTTCTCTTCTCCAAACACCTGCCGACTTTCTTTCTTCCGTCCGTCCCCTCGGTTCTGGGCTTCCAGGGTGTGGACTCAGCTCAGGCTCTGCAGGAGACACACAGGGGCCAGTCAGGAGTCAGAGCCAAAGAGGTCAGTGCGGGTTACAGGTCCAGGCAGTGTTAAAAACCATCTTAGCCCCTCAACGGCTCAGAGAAAACAGAGCAGGAAGGGACCTCAGAAAGGTACACTAAGCCCCTACTTTACTGATGAGAAAACTGAAGCCCAGAAAGTACTAAGACTCTCCAGGCTCCCTGACCACCTGGTGGCAGCAGATACACCTCGCAAGCCTTGGCCTCAGCCTCCCTGTGCCAAGCAGGGAGGAAACTCACTGCTGCCTTTCAGAAAACTTTGGATTAAATACAGCAATGTCACCTTGCAAACAGAGTAAAGGGGCCTTTCCTTGGACAATTCTTCATCATGGTTCTATAGGCCTATTACTTATTCTCAGTCCGTTGTCTTTCACTGGCTTGTAGATCGGGGCAGGGAGCACATGAGAATTAAATAGTGCTCAACACAAACCTGCTTTCCCAGTCCGGGCGTTCAGCTCCTCCATGCTTCCTCAGGGCGTTTCCTCTGCTGTGACTGCTGGAGAGTCCAGGCCCTCACGGGGGTCATTTCTCCATGAAGATCCCTGTTATTTTCTTCCTCTCCTGGAGATAGAGAGGGCAGAGAATGGCTCTGGGTCTCCATAGTCTTAGGTTTTCTCCTAAGCCAGCCAGGGCAGCTGAAAGCAATCATGACTGAGGTCAGGTCAGTGAAGACGGTCCCAGAGGAGCACGGGCTCACAAGGACAGCCCCTCGTGGACACGGTCAGCACTGTGACACGGGCACTATCTGACCAATTCTGCCGGGGATGACGGACCAAGGATTAAGCGGAGGATGCTGCCATGAGGAGAAAGAAGAAGCAAAGGAGTGGGGGGAAAATTAAGATAGATAATAATGGTTTCAAGAAATGCAGAGCAAAGATCCCAGAGGCAAAGTCCCACAGGATGGAGGGGCAGTCCCAGGCTGTGGATCCTACTTAAGAACCTCCTGCTGGATTTTGCCCAGCTCCATTTCCAAACGACTGTGGGTCGGTGACTTCTTTCTCCCTTCCATGGTCCTTCTTTTTGAACTAGAATCACCGTAGTTGTCATTCTGTGTCTGTCCCGCCATTCCACATTAGGAGCAGATGAGCAGTTTGTTCAGTTTGACGGGTCGACGGAGGTAAGGACATTATGTCCAGGATCTGTATTTAATGGACACCCTCAGAGGCCTCATCCACACCTGGTGTGGATGCTTTAGATGAGATTTTAAACTTTGGATCTGATGTGGTCTATGTGACATTTTTCATGTTGAACTAATGCTTTAATGTGAAATTTGGAAACTTTAGAGGAGAGGGTGAATGTATTTTGCAGATGGGGGAATGTGAGTGTCCAACTGCGGTAGACGGAATTTCCGAAATGGTCCCCAAACATGCCATACGCTTGTCTCTGAAGCCTCTTAAGGTGATGAGACAGCATTCCTGTGATTACATTGGAATATGACAGTTACATGACTTGAAGATGGTTAGGTTACCTGCATGAACTGGATCGAATCACATCACTCCACAGTGACAGAGCTTTCCACAGCTGGCTGGAGAAGATGAAGTCAGAGAAGGGAAGTCAGAGCTTGAGAAGGACTCCATGAGTGGTTATTGGTTGAAAGATGGGAAAGACAGGTAAGGAGGAAAGCAGGTGGCCTCTGAAGTCAGAGTGTCTCCTGGTTGACAGTCCAGCACAGAAAAAGGGCCCTCAGTCCCCCACCAACAAGAATAGAAACTCCTTCAATACATGTAATGAACTCAGAAAAATAGCCTGAGCTCTAGAGAAAACCCATAGCCAGACCATTCCCAGATTGTAGCTTCACATGACCCTGATCAGAAAACCCAGCCGCTTCATTCCAGACTTCTGTGGCTTCAAACCACCGGTTTGTGGTAATGTGATCATAGGCAGCAGGAGGAAACTAACACAGGGTGCTGTCTCTCCTCTTGAATTCTATTTCCGATACACAGATGCTAACGCCTCTCAGAGCAAAAATCAATCAATCGGTCAAAGAACTACAATAAAATCTTGCCCTCACCTTTATCTGGCTGTTCCAGAGTGCTTCCCACCTGAAGAAGACAATGTGGGGCATTTCAGGCACACGAGGAGTGCGGCGTTACTATTATCAACCGTATTTCTGAAAGAAGAAAGAGATGCTTCAGGCCTGGTGTGGCGACTCATGCCTGTAATCCTAGCACTTTACGAGGCCAGGGCAGGCGGATCACCTGAGGTCAAGAGTTAGAGACCAACCTGGCCAATATGGTAAAACCTTGTCTCTACTAAAAATACAAAAATTAGCTGGCTGTGGTGGTGGACACCTATAATCCCAGCTACTCAGGAGGCTGAGGCAGGAGAATCACTTGAACCCAGGAGGTGGAGGTTGCAGTGAGCTGAGATCGTGCCATTGCACTCAGCCTGGGCACAAAGCAAAAACTCTGTGGAAAAAAAAAAAAGGCGGGGGAAAAAGAATAAAGATGGTTTAATATTTAACTCCACATATTACTATGTAAAAATGTATCATCTCTGTTTTAATGGCCAATTTTTGAAGATTCCTTTCCTTGTGCTCACCAGACAAGGTTTTGTAGCAAGTACCACTCACCAGCACAGATGAACCAATTCAAGGAGAACCATAAACAGGACTACTATTATGTTTCCCCAAAAACATCCCTAGAATGCAACCTCTTCTCTATTTGTCAGAAAAGGAAGACGACAGTCCACTATATAAAGTCCCAAACACATGAAGATGTAAATATAATGAAGTCCGTTATCCAAATATTTATTCTATTCAGATCTAGGCATGGGGACTAGGGATTAGGAAAGGAAATGACTACAAAGAGGCTCAAGGGAGTTTGGGGAAGCGACAAGAATGCACTGAAATAGAACTCTGCTGATGGCGGCACAATTCTATAAATCCACCTAAAATGATTAAGCTGTACACTGACAATGGGTGACTTTTATTACAAGTAACTCTAGAATGAACTTTTGGGTTTCCACTCCAACACGGAAAGAGCTAGGGAGTCCTCACTTATCCTCACAGCCACAGAAAAGCTGAACAAACTGAAAGTCAGCTCTTCTAGGCTGGACCAGAGAAGTGAGGTCACAGGGAAAACTGCCACCCTAAAACTGAGCGAGACAGGCTAACACACAAGGAGTCTCAGCTCACCAGGAAGAGAAGCTACTGGGCCAGCCACTGGGAGGAGCACTTCAGTGATATTCACAGATTACTAGCAGCTGAGGGTGGCCTGCCTTGAGCATTAAAAACCCCTTGAAGACCAAACTAAGGGGGAATCTCACACATTTCCAAGTTTGACTACAACAATCTCAATCAGGTTGTCATGATGAAGTTAAGAAATAAAACCCTAAAGTTGGTACTACCGACTTCAGGACTTACTAGAAAGCTACAGAAACCAAAACAGCTTGAAGTTGGTGAAAAGAGGAAAAACACACAAATAAGATCTATGGAAAAGAATACAGAGCCCAGAAACAGGCCTACATACAGTCCACTGATCTTTCATAAAGGTTTAAAGACAATTTAAAGCAGCAAGGATAGCCTTTCCAAATAATGGTGCTAGAACAGTTAGACAACCAAACACAAAATCAACCAATCAATCAATGAATCTAGGTGTGCATGCTATGCCCTTTAGCAAATGAATCTTACACCTAAAGGTAAGGTGCAAAACCATGAGAATCCCAGGAGATCACATAGGAACAGAGCTCGGGAACGTGGGTTCCATGATGACTTCTTAGATACACACCCAAAAGCGCAATCCATGAATGAAAAAAATAAAGTTGAGCCTCGTGAAAATGAAAAACTTCTGCTCTATGAAAGACACTTTGAAGATAATGAAAAAAGCAAGTCAAAGACTGGCAGAAAATATATACAAAATAATCTGATAAAACACTGCTCTCCCAAATATATGAAGAATTCTGAGAACTAAGCAACACAAGGCAAAAAAATAATAAGAATAGGTGAGAGATCTGAGCACATCACCAATAAAATATACAGATGGTGCATAAGCATATACAAAGTGCTCAAAATCGTTGGTCACTAGGGAATTGCACATTAAAACAACGAGCTATCACTGGAAACCTATTAGAATGGCTAAAATGCAAAAAGGTAAACACACCAAATGCTGTCAAAGATGAGGAGCAGCCAGAACTCTCCGTAGCTAGTGAAAATCACAATGGTACAGTCACTTGGGAAAACTGAAGTTCACTCAAAATCCTGCACATAAGTACTTACAGCAATTTTATTCATCAGTGTCAAAACTTGGAAGAACCAAGATGTCTTTCACAACGTGAATGAATAAACAAACTGTGTTGTAGCCATACAATGAAATCTAATTCAGTGATTTTTTTAAAATGAGCCATCAAGCCACAAAAAGACATGGAGGAAGTTTAAGCCCATCACTTAAGCAAGAAGCCAGTTGGGAAACCTATCTACTTTATGATTCCAACTGTAGGACGTTCTTGAAAAGTCTAAAAGAGAGAAACAGTGAAATGACGAGTGGTTGTCAGGGGTGGAGGAGAGGAGGCAGGAAATGGTGAAGTGCAGGGAATCTTCAGCACTGAAACTATTTTATATGATGCTGTATTGGGGGTTTACAACATTATGTAATTGCCAAAACTCGATCTATGAAAACTGGAAGAATGAACCCTACTGTCAACTATGAACTTTAGTTACTAATGATGTATCAATATTGGTTGATCAATTGTTAACAGATGGACCACACTAATAAAATGCACTAATAGGAAAATTGTGTACTGGACGTCAGGGGAGCCTAGGAGAACTCTCTGTACTATCTACTCAATTTATCTGTAAACCTAGAACTGCTCTAAAAAATAAATTAGGAGGCAGCAGACCCAAATCAGGTTTTGGTGGCATCAGATTCTTGTGTGCTTAGTACTTGGCATGGAAGTGCACCAACCTAGAGTCAGAGCAGCTGGAGATTTCAATGCCTGTGCCTTTTGCCTCTATTGCTGGGGTGCCCTCAGAATACAGACAGCAGATCAGTTAGGGGGAAGCAGCCTCAGTGATCTAGACAGCTGCAGGCATTCTGGTAGGGACAGGGGCAAATCATCCAGGTGGGCAGAACTTGATGAAGACTAGAAACCCCTGAGACTCAGCAGCTGCCCCAGGGGCACCCATAAATCAAAGGAGAAGGAGGCTGGGAGGGACTGAGGGATACAGGATGACATTCCTGCCTGAAAGACAGAAGCAGCTCCAGAGATTTTGGTAAATAATGTGGGTTTCAGTACAGTGTGGTCTATTCAAAAAAGTTTAAAAGAAAGAAAGAAAGTGAGAGAGAGAGAGAGAAAGAAAAAGAAAAGAGAATGATGGAAGGCAGGGAGGGAGGGAGGGAGGAGGAGGGAGGAAGGAAGGAAGGAGGAGGAAGGAGAGGGAGGGAGGAAGACAGGAGGGAGGGGGAACAAATGAACTTACACGACTGATGAGAAGATCCAGGGGAACTTACAACCCCAATATTTTCCATTAACAGGAACACGCTAACTAGTTATTAGAGAGAGACGCACTACTGTAAACCCATATTCTGTTTCCACGATGTACAGTTCCTTCCTCCGTTTCTGAAACATCCTGTCTCTGGCCTGCTGTTTCCAGAGACACCGAGTCCTCCCTTTGGACAAACTTCTGGCACCCACAGGAATGAGATGGGCCAGTGGACCCCAGAACACCAGGCCACGACCTTCCCTGCTGCTCCTTGTCCACTCCAGAAGCTGCCCGGCTGCAGGAGGGGGTCTCAGCCCCTGGGTCTGACATCGTGCCTTTGCCTTGCTCACTGGGCTTCTCTCCTTGCACTGGCTCCCACTCCCCCAGGACCTGGCAGGTGACCACGTGAGAAGGACACACACAGGCCACATCGCTTTCTTTCTCCCCCTCTCGATGCCCCTGCAGTGGTGGGTTCCATGGGGTAGTGACCTGATATTTACTCATTATGGTGTCCCTAGCCCAGAGCAGGGCCTGGCACCTAACAGCCACCCTGTGAATGCTCAGTGAAAGAAGGTGTCCACCACAAGGTCCTGAGGAACCAAGAATTCCACTGTGGCCCATCAGTTTTAAGTCCTACACGATTCTAGAATGGAAGCTGTGAAAGGCCTTCAAAAGTGGCCACTCTCTGAAACCATTATACTGGCAGCTGAGCCATGTTCCCCCATCCTGGACACATCTAGAGGGCACCGCCTAAATCCACACACATCTCCCCACCCAGCACAGTGCAGGGGCCTTAGCCTGGGAAATGCGGGTGGACGGGAGAACCATGAAAGCTGAAGAGGAGAAAGCAGGTGAAAGGGAACAGCAAGGTGGAAACAGACAAGAGAAATGGGGATGGACACTGGGGGTGAGAGGGGAAGAGAGAGGAGAGGGACGCACATCCAGCCACTGAGGAAAAGGCCCGAAGAGAACACTGTCCTCTCCTGAAGTCAAATAACTTCCACCTGACCACGCGCTGCAGGTCGTGGTGGCACACGCTGGTCATGCTGCGATGTTTAGGGTCCACGGCATCTTCCCTTCGCATCTGAGTCAAAATAGAGACAGGACTCCCTGACCTCAGGATTGTTACCTGTTGGATCTGGCAGCTCTTCATGTCAGCCCACACCGTGTGAGGCTGCTCTTGGTGCACCGAATGGGGAAGATTCTACATCAGTGCCTCGGAGAGTCCACTGGAAGCCCTGGACGGCGGGAGTCGGTGGTGCCCCAGCATGGAGGCCGAGAGCACACAGCACTGAAGCTCCAGACGCCCTCAGGAGGACAGTAAAGGACAACGTGCCGGTGAGAGCCTGGGTCAGCAGGAACCTCGGCCTGGGTCTGAACATGATTTGCCTTCATATGGGCTGTGACATAAAAGAGAGAAATCAAGGTTAGCATTGAGATTCAGCGCTTGGGCAACTTGAAGGATGGAACCGCCACTTATTGAGACTGGGAAGACGGAGAAAGGAGCAGATTGAAAGGGGGGGAACTAGAGTTGGTTGGTTTCTGTCACATGCAATCAAGTCCTGACCAGCCTGGGGAACACAGTAAGACCCTGTCTCTGAAAATAAAAAATAAACAATTAGCAGAGCATGGTGGCGCACACTTGTAGTCTCAGCTACTCTGGAGGCTGAGGCAGGAGGATTCCTTGAGCCTTGAGTTAGAGGTTACAGTGAGCTACGATGGCACCACCACACTCCAACCGGGGACGGGTGGGAAAAAAGAGTCCTGACTGATCACTTGAGTAGCCAGAGAAAGTGCTTACTTTTCACAAAGATACTGTTTGAGGCAGATCTCAGTGAACAGGAATTCCATTCTTTCTGTTAGGAGGAGAGTGTGGGTGTAGTTAGTTAATGCTGACTGAACTATCTTTGGAATCTCATCTACTGGTCTATCTGGTCTATTTATATGTGTATATTCTATCTGCTGTCTCACTGAGCTTTGCTAGTTCGTGCTGCGGTAACAAAAGCCCCCAAATCTTAGCAGCTACACATACAAAGGTTGATTTTCATTGACACTTCCTTTTACGGCAGGTTGACTGTGGCTCTGCTCTATACGAGCTATTTTATTTGTTAGATGGTGAATGCTGTGATACTTGGAGAGTTGTTGAATGTGGTATCAGTATGTTCATTCACTCATTCATCTAACAAATATTTATTCAATATCCTGTTTCATACCAGGCAAGGTCAAGTACTGAGAATACAGTAGTGAATAAGGGATAAGATTTCTAATTTCCAAGAGCTTATACTGAAAATGAAATTAAACACATACAAAATAATCTTAGCAATAATGAATACCATATTCATAAATAATAGATTTTAGTAAATATTTTAAACTAGAAATAGATATAAATTATTAAAACTAAAATGGCCAGGTGTGATGGCTCACAACTGAAACACCAACACTTTGGGATGCCAAGGTGGGAGGATCATTTGAGGCCAGGAGTTTGAAACCAGTGTGGGCACCATAGGAAGGAAGACCCTGTATACAAAAAATAAAAAATGAGCTGGGCATGGTGGTGTGTGCCTGTAGTCCCAGCTACTAAGGAGGCTGAGCTGAGAGGACTGCTTAAGCCTGAGAGCTCAAAGCTACAGTGAGCCATGATCACACCACTGCACCACTGCACTCCAGCCTGGGCAACACAGCGAGACCCTGTCACAAGAAAAAAAATTTTTTTAAAGGAAAAAGAAACAATTTAATCAATGTAGTCCTGAAACTATTATGTAGAATACTATTGTCTACATCACATCACATCAGCCCTTTAAACGGCTTAACACTTATTTAGGTATAATCCCTAAAGTTTTCCTGGTAAATTAAGGACACTTAAGAACAATTAAGTAGAAAATAGTTAGTGCCTTGACAGGAAGATTGTAAACATTTTAAAAAGACAAATAAATAAAAGTGTCAAAACTGTAGCTCTGTAAGGCCCAAATAACATCTAATTCAAGTCACAATGAACATCTAGCAATCATTCTGAACACCATATAATTCACTTAATACATTTTGCCTGAACGCCCAACAGATCTGACTTACCAACACCTGAATGTAGCCAAGAAATTGACAATCATTTATAAATTACACCTATGACTCCATCTGTTCTACCCACTTTTTAAAAATCATTTATTTTACTTTATTTTGTAGAGACGGGATCTCACTGTGTTGCCCAGATTGGTCCAGAAACAGACCCACAGTAATTTCATAAATCAGATGACCGTATAGCCATCCAATTTATGGAAAAAAAGTGCCCAACAGTACAGAAGGGCAAGGATGGTCTTGTCAATACATGGTGCTGGATCAAGCAGTCACTCCGTGTAGTAAAAAGTGAATCACGGCCAGGTGGGGTGGCTCACACCTGTCATCTCAGCACTCTGGGAGGCTGAAACAGGCACACTATTTGAGCCCAAGAGTTCGAGACCAACCTGGGAAACATGTTGAATCCTCGTCTCTACAGAAAATACAAAAATTAGCCAGACAATGGTGGCACATGCCTGTAGTCACAGCTACTCAGTAGGCTGAGGTGAGAGGATCACTTGAGCCAGGAGGTGGAGGCTGCAGTGAGCTGAGATCATGCCACCACACTCCAGGCTGGGCAGTAGAGTGAGACCCTGTCTGAAAAATAAATGCATAAACTAAAATAAAATTGCTGTAAGTCTAACACAGAAAAATGTGTTCGTATTCTTAGGTTAGGCATTGATGTCTTAAACAGGACACAAAAAGCAGTCACCATAAAGGAAAAGATTGATCAAGTATAATTTTATTAAAATTAAGAAACTCAGCCTGGGTGCAGTGGCTCACGCCTATAATCCCAATACTTTGGGAAGCCAAGGCAGGTGTATCACTTAAGCTGAGGAATTCCAGACCAGCCTGTGCAACGTGGCAAAACCTCATCTCTACTAAAAACACAAAAAAAGAGCTGAGCATAATGGTGCTCCCCTGTAGGATCCCAGCTACTTGGGGGCTCAGGCAGGAGGATCACCTGAGCCTTGGGAGGTCCAGGTTGCACTGAACTGTGATTCTGCCACTGCACTCAGCCTGGACAACAGAGTGAGATCCTGTCTCAAAAAGAAAAAAAAAAAAAAAAACCATTAGAGAATCTCCATTCATGTAAAAACACCATTAAAAGAGTCAAAAGGCAAGCTACAGTTTGAAAAAAGAGAAACGCAATACATATATATTCTAGAAACCACACATACCCAGAATAAAGTATTACAAATCAACAGAAAAACAAGCATATCAATGAAAACAGGATACAAAGACTGAACAGACACTTCACAAAAGAGGGACATATAAATGACAATAAAAAAATACTCAATCTCAATACCAGGAAAATGCAAATTGAAACCACACTGATATACTGCTGCACCTCTACTTCGAATGGCAAAATAATTTTGAACTGACAAGCATCAGCAAGGATGTAGGGTAACCGGAATATTCCCTGCTAAATGGTCCAACCACTTTGGGAAAATGTTCAACAATATCTCATACTAAAGTTTTATCATTCATATACCTCTAAAACAACAATGCCACCCCTACATATATACACCAATCTAGTAATGTTCTATTTCTCGGTCTGTGGTGGTTCACTTAGTAAAAATTCATTACCTGTACTTTTTTTTTTTTTTTTTTTTTTTTTTTCTAAGAGACAGGGTTTCACCATGTTGGCCAGGCTGTTCTCAAACTTCCGACCTCAGGTGATCCACCTGCCTGGGCCTCCCAAAATGCTGGGATTACAGGCATGAGCCACCATGCCCAGCCTCTGCCATCCAGGCCGGAGTGCAATGGCATGATCGCGGCTCACTGCAATCTCAACCTCTTGGGCTCTGGTGATCCTCCCACTCCAGCCTCCCGGGTAGCTAGGCCTACAGGCACACACCACCACACACAGTTAAGTTTTGTATTTTTAGTAGAGATGGGGTTTTGCCACATTGCCAGGCTGGTCTGGAACTGCTGGGCTCAAGTGGTCTGACCATCTTGACCTCCCGAAGTGCTGGGGTTACAGGTGTGATCCACTGCTCCCAGACCACCTGCACTTTTACAATTGTGAACTTCTTGTGTATACTTCATAACTTTTCGAAGATTTCTTTGACACAAAGTTCTCAGATATCTTAAAGCTAGCATTTTAGAACACAAAATAAAAGAGCTTCAGGTTCACGGGTGAAATTTTACCAGTAAAATTTAAAAACAGAAAGAAAGCAACTAATGCTAACAGCTCAGATCAGAGATTAAAAACTACCAGCAGATCACTTTAACTTCGTCAAGCCCTGGGAGTCATTCCTTCCGCAAGGAACGGATGGACAGCACTGTAACCCCAAGAAAAGACGGCACCGCAGGAGAAGACTGACCGTCGGAAGCCGCTTTACCAGCAAAAGACAGGAGGAAAGCGAGGAAACCATTCCAAATGTCCTGCTTAACTCTTCGGTGAGAGGATGCCAAATGAGATCATCTAAGAAGCCCACACACACACACAGAGAGAGAGAGAGAGAGAGAGAGAGAGAGACAGACAGACAGACAGACAGACAGACACACACACACACACACACACACGGAAATCACAGCAAGTCTTTGGAGCGCACACAGCAGCGCCACAATCCAACCTGCTGGAAACCCTGCGGTGAATCTGAGGCTTGCCCCGCCAGTCCTGAGGGGATTCAGTGACGGCGGCAAACGCTCCTCTCGTGCGTCCTGGACCTGGCACACCTGGCTTGCCCGCCACCAGCCTGGAGACAGCGCCAGGCGCCGAATCCCGGACGCCAAGAAAGATCCAACTTCGCACGTCAGGGGCCAGAGCGCTCTCGCCCCGCAGGTCCCCAGAGGGAACCGATTTCCGGCCTGGAAGGTGGGGCGCAGGGTCCGCGTCCCCACAGGATTTACGAGGACCTGCCCCCGAGGCTGCTCCGTCCCTGCACCCCCTGGGAGGCCACGGGAAGACACCCCGCGAGTTTCTTGCCCCGCGCCCACGAGAGGGCGGCGGGCGCCAGCGGCGGGCGAGGAATGCAGCGCAGGGAAGGGGCCCCGGCGCCCGCCCCGCTCGCGCAGCGACACTTGCTGGGCCCCCGGACGCGCCGCGACCCTGCGGTGCCCCCACGCGGCCCGGACTCACCGGGGTCCGGCTTGGCGCCCTCAGCTGGAACCACCGGAGACGTCAACCTCCCGTGGAGACGGCCGCCGCCCGGCCGCGCCCCCGCTCCTGGCTCCGCAGGTCGCGCTTCTGGCGTTTACAAATGCCTGGCGCTCACTCAGAAGCTCCGGCGCCCGGGGACCGTGACCTCCGCCTCGCGGCACCGGCGTCTCAACCGCCGCCCAGCCCCGCCGGCAGCCCGCGGGCTCCTCCAGGACGCGCTGCCGGGAGCCCACGGCGCAGGCGCGGGCCTTAAAGGGCCCTCCACCTCCAGGGCGCAACCTCGTTAGGGCCGGCGGGGGACGGACCGGCGAGGCAAGAACCGGACATCCCTGTCTCCCCTCCGCCTCTCCTTCAAAGCACCAGCCCGGAATCCTGAAAAACGCTGATTTCCTGGCAACTGGAACCGCCCCTAGCAGGTTAAAGAGGCAGGAAACACACCCCCTGGGAGCCCGGGCGAACCCGCTCTTAGGACTGCAGGTGTTGCGCTGCCCCCAGGCAGGGCACCCGGTGCAGACGCGCAGGCTTCGCGAGACAGTCCCCAGATCCCCCCGAGGCGGCCTTAGGTCACTCTCAAAAACAATAATGAGCATGTCAAGGACACGTAGTTATTTTCTGATTTAAATTTAGAACAGATTTTGCAGATGGACTTCCACTGAAATAAGCCTCTCAGAGGAGAAAAACTTTTCTTTAACAACATTAAGAGATACCAAGGAGATAGGAAGTCAAGCCATGCTGTCCACCCAGCTAAAAACTTTAAAAACTTGACATTTTATCCAAGGCAAATGTTTGCATAACTTTAGGTCGTGCCATTATTTAAAGTCAATTTCAATTAACAATGTCATTGCAATTGAATCCATCTTGTATAAGAAAACTAAGATATAGCCCTAATAATCTACCTCTCCCCTCCTGTATTCCATCCATCAGCAAATCCTACTGGTTTTCACCTTGCAAATTTTTCTTGAGTCTGTCCTCCTCTGTCTCCTCCATCACCACACTAGTCCAGCCAAACGCGCTAACCCATTGCGCCACAGAGACCGTGACTACCGATTCTACAGGATGCTGTAGGCAGGGCGCACTCACCAAACTGCCCCCAGCCCTTCTGTCCTCAAGATGACTGAGGAGGCCTTAGAAAACCGGAGACATTAGAGGCCGGTGAGTCGCTCTGGTCACGTTGAACACCGGCGCGTTGGGAGATTCTGAGGCCAGGACAGTCGAATGGCCTTCACCCACCCTGCCCCTGGCCTGCTTCAAAAGTCCCCGGAAACGCCCCCATCCGAAACCTGCCCGAGCCGCCTGGTGGCCCAAGCGAAGCTGAACGCGCGGCGGGCTCCCGGGATGGCTCTTCCCGTCCCTTGCTCCGCCTTCACCTGGTGAGGGAGCCTGTGCCCAGGCTGCTCAGTGGCTTTCGGGGCGCTGCGGAGCTGCCGCTGCCGTCTTCGGATCCTGTGCCCCGATCGCGGGCTCCACCAGGGCAGGGATGGGGTGAGGGTCGCTGGTGGGTCTTCTCGGGAGGAGCAGGGTCTGGCACTCACCAGGGCCCACGGCGAGGACTTGTCGAACGAATCCGTCGTCGCCTTTTGCTTTCAGCCCTTTGAAGAATCCTGAAAATAGAAATCACGCACTGTTTTTCCACGGGGAAGTTTTATTTTGTTTTGTTTGTTGACAGAGTCTCACTCGGTCGCCCAGGCTGGAGTGCAGTGGTGCAAACTCGGCTCACTGCAGCCTCCACCAGCCTCCACCTCCCGGGGCCAAGCGATCTCCTTGCCTCAGCCCCCAGATAGCTGGGACAACAGGCGCGCCACCATGCCGGCTAACTTTGTATTTTTTGTACAGACAGGATTTCGCCCAGACTGGTCGCGAAGGGGAAGTAAGTTCTTTTTGAAAAGCGTTGATTCCGATTGATTTCTCCGCACCCCCAGAAGAGGGCAAGGGGTGAGGCCCGCTAGGGGCCACCGGCAAGAAAAGAGTCCTGCCCCTCTCTTGCCACTTGGCGAGGTGGAGCTGAGGGGCTCAGCCGCGCTGATTTGGGGTGCGTGCCTGGGGCAGGAGGCTGGGAGCTGGGCAGGGGGTGGGTCCCACAGGGAATGGCCAGGAGGAGGGCCGGTAGTCGGTAGAGTCGGGACCCGGGAGTCAAAACTTCGCAGTCGCTTTGTGCAGCGGTGAGGACTGCACCAGGGAGAGATGACAAGTGTTTTGTTTTTTGTTTGTTTGTTTGTTTGCTTATCGTAGCAGAGTGGGGAAAAATGAAGAGACACCAAGAAAAAACGAAATCTATGCGGACCCTTTGATCTCCAAAACGGAAGCAGCCCTACATTCAGTTTAAAGAGAGTCGGTCCGCGTCCGATTCTGGGGCTCGCCCTGCTCGCATCGTGGTTGCTACTGGGTGCTGTGGCCGCAGCAAACTCGGCTCAAATCGGAGTCACTGCAGTGTGCCTTCTAGGGTGTAGGGCTTTTCTTTCCCGTTAGCCTCCAAGCTCAGCCTGGGCTGTGCGGTTTACCTGGGACCAGAGAGGTTACAACTTTCCTGTGGCTTCAGAGCTCTCTGTAGCGGCAGAAACAGAAGCAACCCGTAACCTGCATGCTGGGTCCGTCATCCTGAAAGGCTAGACTTTTGCCCCCTCTCTGATTAAGGGCAATATCCAAAAGCTGAGGAGCTCTCTCTCAGTCAGCCTTATTGGAATCTTTTACTGATGACATGATGTGGCCATGCCTGTTTCTTTAGCTCAGATATTTCAAACATCCTTAGGGTCTTTTTAGGCCAAAACAGAAATGAACAAGAGAAGACGAGAGTTCAATTCCAACCGGGTATTTTAAGTGAAACCTAAAGAATATAATAAAATTGAAACTTAATGACATTCCCCAACCCCAATTTTTAATTTTGTTTTTACTTCTTTATTTGCTATCAGTAAATGACTGAGGTATAATCCACACAGACCAAAGTGTGCTAATCCTAACTTCGAGGCCCAGTGTATTTTGACAAAAGAAACTATCACCTTAATCAAGTTATGGGACATTGTCACCAGCCCAAAAAGTCGTTAGAGCCCCTTCCAGTCAATCCTCACCCCATCCCCACTTAGGCAGTCACCCTTCTGATTTCTATCTCTGTGATTTACTTTTGCTTCTTTTTGAAATCATGTAATGGAGTATACTGATTTTGCCTGTTTGGTTTTTTTTTTTTTTTTTTTTTTTAATGCAACAGTGGTTATGAGATGCTTCCATTATATGGCATGAATCTCAGGTTTTTGGTGTTATTGATGAGTGCATTCTAACCTGTGAATACACTACAGATGATGGACAATTGGACTATTTCTACTCTTGGCAATTGTGAAAAAGCTGTTTACAAATATTCCACAATGGGCCTTTTTATGGACCTGTGCCTTCATTTCTGTTGAGTATAAGCCTTGTAATGGAATGGCTGGGTCAGGAAGTAGGTGTGTTTTTCACTGTATTGGAAACTATCAGGCAGTATTTTAGAATGGTTACACTATTGTATTCTCTTTTTCTCTCTCTTTTGAGACAGAGTCTCACTCTGTCGGCCAGGCTGGAATGCAATGGCTCCATCTCGGCTCACCGCAACCTCTGCCTCCCGGGTTCAAGCCATTCTCCTACCTCAGCCTCCCAAGTAGCTTCTTCCTCAGCAATACTCAGTGTCTCAATGATTGGCTTTCTGTGTGCTGAGCAGTGGGAAATGGAACGAGAGCCAGTAGCGCTAAGGATCCAGGTCTGTAACAGGGGCCTGTCAGGTGCAGGATTCTGTTGGCTCCAATGATGTTTCTCAGATGGGCTGATTTTTATGGACATAGGCTCTGAAAGAAATCAGTCAGGGAATAACTCAGAGACACTTACCTGCGTGTTAATTCTTCATTAATATAGAAGAGAGAGCTGGCATTAGATTGTTTTCAGCAAATAAAAGTCAAATCAAAATTTAGAAAGAAAAGAGGAATCGAAAGGAGAAAAAAATATCTGAGACCATTGTGATTTTGCTCCTTTGCATAAATGACTTGGCGGAAGACTATCAAAGAGGTCACTGTGACCCTGTCTTCTCTGGACCCATGTGACTTGGTCACCACAGGAAACAATTACAAGCTGGGCACAGTGACTCACAACTGTAATACCAGCACTTTGAGAGCCTGAGGCAGGTGGATTGCTTGAGCTCAGTTGGAGAGCAGCCCCGGCAACATGGTGAAACCCCGTCTCTACAAAAAGATACAAAAATTAGCCAGCCAGCATTGGTGTATGCTGGTAGTCCCAGCTACTCAGGAGGCTGAGGTGGGAGGATCTCCTGAGCCCGGGGAGGTTGAGGCTGCAGTGAGCCGTGATCATGCTCCACTATGACTGTGCCACTGCACGGCTGCCTTGGCAACAGCGCAAGACCTTGTCTCAAAAATCAAATGAAATGTCTTAGAAGTTTACCTATCCATCCTGTGCCACAGAATATCTGTGTGTAATGTCCTCCATGTCCTTCTGTTGTATCATCCCAAATGAAGCCACCTAGCCCCTTATTAGAATATCCTGGGCACATGGCCAAGGGTGGTGGCTCACACCTGAAATCCCAGCAGTTTGGGAGACCAAGGCAGATGGATCTGTTGAGCCCAGGAGTTAGAGACCAACATGGGCAACAAAGCGAGACCCTATCTCTACCAAAAAAAAAAAAAAAAAAAAAAAAAGAAGGTGCTCGTGCATGCCAGTAGATCCAGCTACTGTGGAGGCTGAGGTGTGAGGATCGCTGGAGCCCAGGGGGTGGAGGTTGCAGTGAGCTGAGATCACACCACTGCACTCCACACTGGGTGACAGAGTGACACCTACTCTAAAAAAAGATGGGGAGGGATAAGAAAGTTTGTTGTGCCAGCAAGTAAATGAAGAAAGGGACAGTATCAGAGTTGAGAAATAAATTGGAATATGATTTGGTACCCCTCCCGCAGAAGATAAATTTGTTAAATTTGCTGAAGTTACAGGCGTTATACAAGGCCCGATGCAGTGGCTCATGCCAGTAAATCCTGGCACTTTGTGAGGCCTCGGAGCTGCTTGAGCCCAGTATAACCCACACAGACCAAAGTGTGCTCGTATTAACTTCGATTAAGATTAGGAGACCAGCCTGTGCCACATGGTGAAATCTCTTCTCTACAAAACACACAAAAATCAGCAGACCATGATGGCCCACGACTGTAGTCCCAGCTACTGGGAAGG